GCATATTTTAAACATGCTATTTCAGAAAAACTTGTAATACAAAAGACAATTGCCTTATTGTAAGTAATTAACTTGAGAAATTTCTAGCTGATACCTTTAAGTTAAAAAAATTACCCTATTCACCTGGGGTGTCTCGCCTTAAGTTACTTTGAGGCTTTTATTTTGAAAAACAAGCCTCATCTGGAGCTTCCTTTAAGGATACTTGATGGTGCTTTTATTAACATTTTTTAAAATGCTTCTTCCTGTAAGGTCAGACTTACTTTTATTTTGGGATTCGTAAATAATCCTGAGTTTCCGGTCAGGATAAAGTTACTTTCCGATGGTTTTTATTTTGAAAAACATGCCTCATCCTATGCTTCCTGTAAAGATTAAGTGTTAGGTCAACTTAGCTCCTTTAGTCATTTTATAAACAAACATGTTATTTAAATGAAGTTTTGATATTACTTATAACTAATGCAATTTTTTGTTTGAAGTTTCCAGAGGCTGCCGGTGTAGGCTACCTTTTAACTTGCCATTATGACAAATTCTGGTCTCATATTATATACCCCCAGACCAGCCCCTTCGGAAATGTACTGTACTCTACATCTCAATATGTTCTTTAATCGAAGCTTGTTTTGTCTGCAGGTGTGACGGCTGCCAGATGTTTCCTATAAACGGCCCCAGGTTCAAATGCAGGAACTGCGACGACTTCGACTTCTGTGAAAACTGCTTTAAGACCCGCAAACACAACACCAGGCATTCCTTCAGCAGAATCAACGAGCCAGGTGAGTCACACAGAAAACCCCATGTGTCCGTTTTCACTGCAAAAGCATAAAATCATATCAGAGAGAATAATCACCATTACAAATCTGGGTTAATCAATGTTGTTGCTGATAACAAGTGCCAATACTTCCTTGATTCTTTTGAGCATCTGATACCTGAATGTTTTATCAGTTTTTTGTGTTTTGGTATGTTTACGTTGTGGTGTGCCCTGTCCCTGTTTGTACTGTTTCTAAGCTATGTTTCCTCCGCCATCATCAGGCCAGTCTCCAGGTTTCTGCGGCCGCTCAGGGAAGCAGCTGAAGAAGCATCACAACAGCCAGCGCGGGATGCTGATCGACGATTGGTCGCGAGCTGTGAAGAGCCTGAACGTCTCGTCCTCCGTGAACCAGGTCTCGCGCCTCATCGACAGCACCGATCAGTGCTGGCAGTCCTCCGGATCGCAGGGAAAGGCACGACACTTAATGCTTACTCTAGAAACTAGAACATTCCCTACTGAGATATTGTGACTGTGTGACTACTGTGTAATAATACCAGCGATAGGGAGGTATTGATAGCACTAGCTGTATAGTTGCTTTATGGGGCTTTTATTTTAAATAACATGCATCTTATTGAGCTTCCTGTTAGGATTCTATGGGGCTTTTATTTCTGCAAGCATGCCTCCCTCTTAGCTTCCTGTAAGTTTCTAGTGCTTTTATATTTAAAAACATGGCTAATCCTGAGTTACCTGTTAAAATAGAGTTACTTATTTTTTAAAACGAGCCTCATCCTAAGCTTCCTGTAAGGATACATTAGCCCTTCAGGGATTTAACAAAGGGGTGAAGGAGAGTAGGAATAAGTATGCCGGTCACACAGATAAAGATGCATTACAGTCTATTCAATCTTTATTGGAGTATAATGGACTCCTTTATGTTTTGCTCTACAGCACTGGATCCGTATGGAGCTGTTTCCAGATGTTCTGGTACACAGGCTGAAGATGGTGGTGGATCCAGCGGACAGCAGCTACATGCCCTCACTAGTGGTGGTGTCAGGCACGTAACATTTGAACAGTTTACACACACTTGTACCTTAGTTTAGACAAATACTTTGTATTTCTGCATTTTCGAATCAACTGTTTGCTTTTCAAATAGTTCCTTTTGTATCCACATGTTGTTGTTGTTGATATTTAAACTTTTTTTAACAGCAAAAGCAATGTGTTTTTTCTTCTTGAATTACAGGTGGAAGCTCTTTGAACAACCTAATTGAGCTGAAGACGATTAACATCAATCCGACAGACACCGCCATCCTGGTCCTGAGTGACTGCACTGAGGTCCGTCGGCTTTTAATTGACTTTAATTAGTAATGAATGTTTATTATCTTAACTCTCCTGCCTCACTTTAAAAGTTGGGCCCATGGGTTAAAAACTGGTTGTAGATATAACCCAAATGACCTGTTTCCCACAGTATCACAGATACATCGAGGTCGCCATCAAGCAGTGCCGCAGCTCGGGGATCGACTGTAAGATCCACAGCCTGGGCATCGTGGGACGCATCAGAGCGGAGGATGAAGACCTGGCCACCGTGCCCTTCCTCGCATCGGACAACGAAGAGGAGGACGACGACAAAACTGCTACCGGGAGGTGAGTTGTGTGGTCGTAGATGATTTCCTTTTTTATAATAAGCAGGCATTTACATTACATTACATTAACTAGCAGATTCAGGATGTAAGAAATGTGTAAATGCTCACAGGAAGGGGTGGAAGAAGTTTTCAGATTTTTTGCTGAAAAGAAAATACTTGAAAAATTAAAAAGTATATTCTTCAATACGTGCCTTAAAGGTCACCTATTGTGCAAAATCCACTTCTTCATGTCTCTTCTACATCAACATGTGTCCCCTCTTCTTCATGTCTCTTCTACATCAACATGTGTCCCCTCTTCTTCATGTCTCTTCTACATCAACATGTGTCCCCTCTTCTACATCAACATGTGTCCCCTCTTCATCATGTCTCTTCTACATCAACATGTGTCCCCTCTTCTACATCAACATGTGTCCCCTCTTCTACATCAACATGTGTCCCCTCTTCTACATCAACATGTGTCCCCTCTTCTACATCAACATGTGTCCCCTCTTCTTCATGTCTCTTCTACATCAACATGTGTCCCCTCTTCTTCATGTCTCTTCTACATCAACATGTGTCCCCTCTTCTACATCAACATGTGTCCCCTCTTCTACATCAACATGTGTCCCCTCTTCTACATCAACATGTGTCCCCTCTTCTACATCAACATGTGTCCCCTCTTCTTCATGTCTCTTCTACATCAACATGTGTCCCCTCTTCTTCATGTCTCTTCTACATCAACATGTGTCCCCTCTTCTTCATGTCTCTTCAACATCAACATGTGTCCCCTCTTCTTCATGTCTCTTCTACATCAACATGTGTCCCCTCTGTGGAAAGAGACTCTGAAAGTTTCAGGAACAAAGATTCTCTCTCTTTTTGTCCTGATCCATTTCTATAAAAACCTGTCTGAAAATGAGCTGATCAGATTTTGGCCACTTTATGATGTCATAACGATTTTTGGTCTTGTGTAACCATTAGCCAATCAGCAACCAAGGTACTTAAAGAGACCCTATTACGCAAATGTTCAGGTGTATATCAGTATGTAGTGTCTCTACTTTAAAGAGTCCTCTCCTGCTGATGTTCAGGTGTATATCAGTATG